TAATTATAAAGCACCTCGCTGCGTTCAGTGTTACAGCTCGTTCCGAGAAACTACACTTGCTGTATGCTTGAAGAACCTTGTTTAAAATCTCAGCGGTGCTTGCTATCGTAGAAATGCTGCTATGTTTTGAAGACCCCCCAGGTGGGCCAAGTTGGAGAAATATAAAGAAATCAGGACTGATGATGAATATTTCTGCAGTGAGACAATTTCAGCCTGCGATTTCCCAGGCACAATTTTGTACATTACTGTTGTATTGTACTAGATCCTCACACTCGTCTTCAAATCCCTTCATGCCCCGGCACCTCCTTATTTCTCCCATCTGCTTATTCCCCAACCCACTACCTGCTGCCTTTGCTCAACTGGCTCCGGCCTCCTGCTTGTCCATTGCTCCCTCTGTTCCACCGTCAGTGGCTGTGCTTTCAGCCACTACTCCCTGAAACTCTGGAACACGCTCCCTCGATCCCTCCACCTTATCCCCTCCTTCCCCATCTTCAGGTTGTGCCTGAAGGCCGTGCCTACATTCACTTCCCTCCCTCAGCTCCGCATCGTGATAAGTGCTACATAAAATGCATATTATTATTAAAAGTTTCTGATCAGAGCTGCTAAGATTGCGTTGGATTTTAAATTCCATTCGATATTCGCAACTTTATTTTTAGGAAAATTACTCCTTTTAATCCATGTAAAAGCTTGGATGGGTGTGGGAATAGGGCTGGGCAGTGGGATTGACTAAACAGCTTGCTGTGCGGACTCAATGGGCCGAACGGTCTCCTTCTGTGCTGTAAATTTCCTAAGATTCGAACTTGAAAAGGGGGAGATAAAATGATCTTGGTAGCAATAAACAGGGTGAGCAGGATGAGGGTCTACAAATCAGTTGAGTTCAGCTCCGCAGACGCCACACTAAGGTGTGGTCCAGGGCTTTTTGCGAACAGTTTTGGTCGCTGCGACTTTGGCCTTGGGGGGTGCGGGGGGTGGTTTGCCAAGGCTCTGGGGCAGTACAGGGAAATTAGCTATTAGTAGCAAAGAGAAATTAGTTAACAAATGGTCAAGCTAGGGCTTTTAATTCTTGAAAGGAGGCATCTTGAAGAGTCCCTGGCAGCAGAACAAGAGGACATATTAGGAGTTGCAATTTCCCAACAGGCACTGGGGAGGGTTTCATTACCCAAAGAGTAGCTGTCAACTGGAACAAGTTACCGGGAAGAGTTGTTGAGCCCCCAAACACTGGATTCTTGACGCTGTGATTGGATGCCTATCGGGTGGTGGACGTCCTCCTGACGTGAAAGGAACTTTTTAAATTTCATTTGTTGTTGTTGTTGCCTTCTGGAAGGATCAAGTCGAATAGGCTGAAGGACTTTTTTGACACTCGACCTCTTTCCTTTGAGAAGCGGAGTCATTTCTACATATTGCTTCCTTTAAATAATGAAGACATTTTTTGTACATGATATAAAATGCAAGATTGTTGCTCTGTTTTTGAGTTTTTCCTGTCCCCTCCCCTGTTGCCTGAAGGGAACTGAATGCATGTTCGGCACGGTTCCAGAGGCACCTGTGGCTTACTGATGCTTTACCTTTGTCAAGCGGTTATTTTTTCTGAACCTGGACAGAAAGTACGGGGGGGGTTGACTGTGGGGAAAGACATCAATTGTAATGTGGTCCCATGTGCCGATCCATCAAAGATAGCCAGGAACCTAGAGACAGAGTTGCTGGTGATATATTTAGGGTTTCTCTTCCCAATCCCAGGCAAGAGGACTGTAGGCAGATACTGTTATTGTGAGAGCTATATCAGCACACATTGGGGATTAATCCTGGGTCATTTGGTCTCTGTAAAAGTCAGGCTCCGCCACTGTTAAGTGCTCTGAGACGCTACCCTGCGTGGAGGGTGCTTTGTAAGTGCAAGTTATTGTTGTAATTTAATTGTATTAAATGAATAACCCTTGTATTTTATACAGCTCCTTTCGCGTTGTGAGGGTGTCTCAAAGCGCTTCACAAGATTTACTTTAAAGTTGGAGCGACTGTGTATTTTGTAAGCGTTCTCTCCAAAAAGTGTTAACGTAGCTGCGAAATTGGGAAACTGCTATAGAGAGATCTGTGACTCAGCTGCAAGCTCCCAGATGACTCGGCAAGTTTACTCACTGAATAGCTGAACGAGCGTTGCTGGCAGAGAGGGAAGATCTCTGATTTGATTCCAGGTCTGGGCTGAATTAGCTGTGCTGAGTTCGCTGATCTCAGCCAGGGCAGCATTATCAGTGCTGCTTTGGCTCTTGCACGCTAAACCCACACTGAAGATATTATTGCATGAGGGGCAAACGTGGGCACTGTTGCATTTAGTGCCTTTAGAAATGTACGATTTGCAATACAATTTGCATTTATATTGCGCCTTACACATTGGGAGGGCATCTCAAAGTGCTTTACACAGCTGGCTGGATGCACAAACCAGGGGAAAAGGGGTAGCTGAAGGGGTGGGGAGAGAGAAAAATGACTCTTGCATTTTAATTATTATTATCATTGCAAAAATAATCCTTGCATTTAATATAGCGCCTTATCACATTGTTGAGAAGTTTCAAAGCTCTTCACAGGATATACGTTAAGTGGATTGACGATTTTGTAGGTGAAACGCGGCAGCTAATTGCGCACATCAGTGTCCCATAAACAGTTGTTGATTGACTGACACAATTTTTTTTGAGGGATTATTACCCCTGGAAATCAATCCGCCAAACAACTAACAACTGGGTTCCTAGTCACTGCTGGGTAAACAGGCCATGTGGAGTAAGGAAATTAACGTCAATGTCTGTGTTCGCAAGAAAAAACAGCACTCGCCTTGTAGGACCTTGCATATGTGTAACCTGGAGGACAGGGGCAAGTTCAGTATTTTCATAAAAAATACTTTAAATTTTGATCCGTAATGGAAATGCAGCAAGATTGTACCTTCTGACATTTTTGTCTACCAACTAGTCTCTCCACTTAAAATAATTACCGATAAAGCACCTTGAGACGTTCTGATGTGCTGAAATCCGATATCAAACCATTTCTGAGACTTACCAGTAGAGGGTAATGTCTTGCAACTGGTTCAGTAACTTTTTACACTCGTTTTACAATGTGAGTTAATAACGTGACGCAGTCTATTCAGCCCTATTTTGCTGCAGGGCTAGTATTTGTACAAACCATACGATCAGTCCATCTCCACTTCATTACAATTCATAATCTTATACTTTTATTGTACAATATGGCAAGCATTGCTGTTTGATGTCCAGTATCTACATTTATTTACCATGTCCAGGATCTATTTTACATATGGTAGCCCCATTGTACTGAAGACTAATTGGCTAATTGTAATTTGACTCCTCATTCTTTCTGAATCATGTTACCTCAACATAATAAGCTCTTCTTCCTTCCCATCTCGAAAGTGCTGTGATGTGATGCTGTGTGTTTGATGGGAAAAGGGAGGTGATGGAAGTGATGCGAAAGAATGACTGAGCAAGCAGCCTTTCTGAATTGGCAAGAGATCAAGTTCTTGTGAGGATTCTGCACATTGCAGCATGTTGGGTTCTCAATACAATGAACAGGAGAAGGAAGGGATGTAGTGGCTGCATATAGGCATCATTGGTGTTTTACACTTCATAGAGTTATACAACACAGAAGGAGGCCATTCGGCCCATCATGTCTGTGCCGAACTTCAGCCACACAGGCTCTGAGACTTCTGGAGTCTACCCCTCATGAAAAGCGCTACATATAATAATAATAATCCTCATATTTGAAATAGTACCTTATTGGGTCATTGAGATGTCTCAAAGCTCTTCATGAATATATTGTTGTGATGTCTCGAAGACGTGATAAGTTGCTATATCATATGCAAGGATTATTATTCTTATAAAGTGGATTGACAATGTATTTTGTGGGTGAAATGCGGTAGTCAATTGCGCACAGCAGTGTCCCACAAACATCTGTGCATGGATTGAGTGACAATTTTTTACGGGGGAGGAATTACGATCCGCCAATCGACTAACAATCGGGTTCTTACTTCTTGGTAAACCTTGGCATCCAGGAATCGAACCTGGGTCCTCTCGCTACGGGAACGCAAGTTGTCTCTCAGTGAGACACATGGACTGCTCTTAAAATTGTACGGAGGGTGAAGAGTCCCTTAAATTCTGGCGGTGCCTGAAGATGTAGAGCCAATGAATGAAGCTTACTGTCACTGAAACACTTTGGTCTCTTGTGGCTGTACACTGTGAAACACCATGAAGGTTGAAAGGAATATGATGTAATGGCCTTGAATAGAAAACAAGTGCTGTGTGGAATAGGAAGAATGCACATCCAATTCTCACTTGCACTTTGGAGAGGTCAGGAGGAAATTGTCCTCTTTGCTTTATTTCACTTTTTGGGAGGGAGTGGGGGGAGAGAAAATCTTCCTTTTATTTCCCCTGTCAATATAGCTCAACCTCACAATGTTGGTGTCTTTGGCAAAATCGTTATCATACAAACTTTTGGCTCACTTCATTCAGTCCCTCATTTCTGCAGCCAAATCACGTATTGGTTCAGAAATTCACTTTTCCCTGGCAGTAAGCATGTCTGTTCTATTTGAAAGCTCTCTCTGCACCAAGGTTTATCGGAGGTCACCTAGATCAATTAAGCATAATTGTTGTTTTGTAAATTTTAACCTTGGTGATTTTAGCTTCTTCGTATTTTTACCTTGATTATATATTTCTGTTCCTGTGCATTTCTCACACTTTTTCTTTTTATTTCAAATTTTCAAGCATTGATTTTGTTTGAAGGAAAGAACAGTTGTATAAGCAAATTCTACACCTTCCACACAGTACAGGTCATATGTCAATTTACAAAGTTTAAAGGGTATACCTTTCCTGGACTACAGATTAAATTGAGTAATGGGCATGTGGATTTTTCAAAAGCAGCAGCTCCTTTTTTGTCAGATCAAATTAAATATCAAAACAAGATAATCACAATGTTTCTTCTATTAGCATTATTTAAATCTGGATTTTCTTCCTCTCCAGGCTTACGGAATGTCCGCATTGCCATTAAACCTAATAAAAGGTACACAGAGTGTGGTTTATGAACGTCTGCAGAATACTGAAGATCTTGAGGAAGTGGAACAGGAAATGGAGAAGATTAAATCAAAGGTTTGGCTGCAAACATCATTTAAAATCTACCTTAATTTAATGTTTGGCATCCTAAAATGTCTAAGACATTTGCCATTTGCAATTGTCATTTGCAATTGTTCATACTGGAAAGATTTGAATAACATGTTTGTGCGTGTGCATATTGATATAATTTGTTATTTTTACTTTTATTATTAGATGAATAATTGTACTGCTTTATATCCTTCGGTATATTGCATTGTTTGGAATCATCTACAAATTCAGTTCATTTGGTGGCATATTGTTCTGCACAAGTTATTAATATTTAAGGGAAACCTAGCCTGTAGGGAATGTGCCATTTCATGAAATGTTAAGATGCTTCCCTGCAAATGCATCCGCTATGTATATGGAATTTAATGATATCTTAACGTCTGTCAGTTTTACCTCTATGAAAAATTCTAAAGACAGTAAGAAATCTGGCCACCTGCATCTCTGATATTCAACCTTATTTTTTAATTATCTACAGAAATTGTGTTGCATAAAAGATGAGTTTTTTTTAAATAAAAGACTATTTCTTGAGATTTTACACTCTGGATTTTTCAAACCCTAAAGCTGCTCTATGATTTTAATAATGTGCATATGCCTATTTGTGCAAATATTTTTATAACTTTAATTTTGAGCATTTCTTTAAAACAAATTCTAAAAACAAAAAAGCTACCGTAGTCTTTCTTTTACCCCAAAAAGGCCTTTACCATTCAGGCAGTGCATTCCAGACTGTAACAACTCTCTGGGTAATAACATTTCTCTTTGTCGGCCCTGTGGTTCTTTTGCCAACTATCTTAAATAGGTAGCACTTCAGCCTTATATATCAGAGGTTTTCTATGTTTGAGCTCAAAGTCTAAGCTGACACTCCAGTGGAGCACCGCATTGCAGGGATGGTGTTTGTCGGATGAGATTTTAAATGAAGTCTCTATTGTTCTGGCAGATAATGTTTTTAAACAATGGCAATCAACAACAAAAAATAAATTACATTTGTACAGCGCCTTTCACGTCGGGAGGACGACCCGATCAGTTTCTGAGCCCTGGCTAATATTAATGTTCCATCCAAATTTACTAAATCAACTCACCTCATTTTTGATTTCAGACATTGCTCTTGCAATTTTGCTACCCCATTTGTCTTATAGACATCGCTGAATTTCAATGTGATTCGGAACTCGTGTAGACTTTGTCAACAGTCCAGTTCAGTACTGGGGATGTACCTCATAGTCAGAGGTACCGTCCTTTGGACGAGACATTAAACCAAGATCTTCTCCGCCTGTCCAGGTGGACTTCAGGGATCTGAGAAGCGAGTTTCTCCCGGTGTTCTTGTCAACATTCCCCCGAATAATCCTCAATCCTCTCTCAGTCTCTCTCTCTCTCTCTCTTGCTCTGTCTCTCTTCTAGTCTCCCTCTCTCTCAGTCTCTGTTTCTCTCTCACTCACAGTTTCTCGCTCTCAGTCTCTCTCTCTATCTCTCTCTCTCTCTCTCAGTTTGTCTCTCTTTTAGTCTTGGTCTGTCTCTCCCACAAAACACACAGTCACTACACTTTATAATATATTCTCTCTCCCAGTCTCTCTCTCTCTCCCAGTCTCTCTCTCGCCTGCCCCCCATTCGCCCCAGTCGTCTTTCTCTATCTCACTCAGTCTCTTTCACTATCTCAGTCTCTCTTTCTCAGTCTCTATATGTCTGTCCCATATGGGAGGACTCTAGTTCCCATGACAACCAGAAAAATGTGCCATACATTAGTTGCGGATTATAGATATATCTCCCTGAATGTTGTTTGCTTTCCTCTGTCGCTGTGTAGTTGCAGAATACGATTCATACCTCATATTTTGGGGCTTAATTAAAGCATTTTTTACTATAACTCATCAACAATAGGAGATCCTCCCCCCCTCCCAAAATGCCCATGACACTGCCAGATGCAAGACCTTTCCGCTGAGGTATAAATCATGTCTTTACATCAATCGGTTATTGCGTGATTGTCAAATACACTGACACACATACAGACAGACGGAAAAACGATAGATAGACATTGTCGTTTTATTAGTATAGATAACATTCACTCCATTTTCCAATAGTGCAGGGATGGCCGTCCACTATCGACAAGGGACCAGCGAGCTCTGCACCAGCTGGAGGAGAAGCTGAGGACGCTTAAAAGGAGAGACAGACACCTGGAAAATGCTGCAAGCAGTTACTGGATAAAAGTTTGCTGTGCCGTCAGACCCTTTAAGGTATATTTTAGATTGTCAATGTGCTGCATGTGGATTCCAGACAATCCCATTGTGACCATTGGTTTTCATGTATTGAAGGGGGTGAAAACTGCATTCATGCAGTGGATGGATTCTTGTGGAATATATATATTTTTCTTGGAAGATTTATTTTCCTGACTGACGATAGTCATTGGCGTGGGAAGGTAAACATGATATTCTTGGAGTTGAACTGGTTCCAAGGTTACATGTTTGGCAATAGAATATCAGAATCCAGGCAACCCTCTAATCTCGGACTAGGTAGTCCGGTTCCTGAGCCAGGCAGGTCCGTGGTATTCCAGGGCACTGCTGATGACAGCCTGGCTCATCGGCAAGACCTGAAGGGAAGACCAGTTGCTTGGGGCAGGTAGTCATCCCACTCAGCTTGCATTAGACCTAAATGTGTAGAATGGACCTAGCTGTACAAGAAGTGGGTAGACTTGCCAGACATGGCAAGCTGTGTGGTTTTAGGTGGAGACTCCAGCAATTACCCCAACATATACTCATGGGTCCCCAAGCCTTGGCTCTTGCCAAACTGTACTTAATACTCTCCACAATTAGATAAGCAGGATGTGCCCGTCCAGGGAGTGAGTGAGCATTCCATGTTTAGGTGGGATGCATGGAACTCTGTTTAGTTTGGATACTTTTAAGGATGGCGATGGGCTCTGCATGTGCTGACCTCACAGAAATGGAAGACAAGATACCAGAGGTGGAACTTGTAGACAGATACACAAGCGAGTCTGTGATTTCAGCAGTGGTGAAGAGAGGGGAAATAAAGAAACCAAGATTTTAAGGCATTACTTTTTCCCCTTAAAAGCTAGTTAAGTGCTGTGATCCAGCTTGGGTTGGGATGACCCTTCTGTGCTATTGGATCAGGGATTTATTACTTTAATGCAAAAAAAAAGGTCTGGAAATGTATGTGTAGTATATGGTGACATTAATCATGTGAATGCATCAATATTTGGAGTGAAGAAATTGGAATATTAAAGCTGCTCATCTCTGAGAAATCCATTGGTTCTTCGAAGTCAGAACCACTGAAGCTTAAAATAAGTTTTTCACAATGTGACAACTTCAATGCCTGTGCTCTAATTATGAATATTTTTTTTCTGGAATCTATCCTGTCTGTATCTCCACTTTTCCGATTCTGGCCGATTGCTTGATCCTCAGTCCTTTGATCCCATTGCTCAGTGGTAATGCCCTTTGCCACTGTACCTTCCTCTCTTGAATATTGGAGTTCCGAAGCCTAATGGTTAGAGCACTTGCTTCATAAGCGAGGGGATTCGGATTCGATTCCCGGACAGGGTGAAACCTTAGGCAGGTTTCCTTACTTCACACGCCTCTTTACCTAGCAGTAAGTAGGAACCTAGTTGTTAGTTGATTGGCTGATTGCTTTCCAGGAGTAATAATCCCTCCCTCCCCCCCAAAATATAAAAAATTGGGTCACCCAATCCACGACTGTTTGTAGGACACTGTTGTGCACAATTCACTGCCGCATTTCGCCCACAAAATACACAGTCAGTCTACTTTACAATAACAAAAGGACAACCTCAGATGTTTTACATCTTTTAAGTATTGCTTGGATATGATAGGGCTTATATATATGTTTAATTGCCACTGGGTATTGTCATTGTATAAATGCAATTGTTTGGAGGCCAATTGTTTGGTTTATATGTATGTTTTATGCATTTTGGATGAGAACCATTTCAGCAAACCTTGTTTAAAATTTTGAATGGTATTTGAATATATGGAGTGTATTCTGAAACCATTGTTTTGCAACCATATGGAAAATAGCTGTGGATCTTGAATAAACATGATTTATAAACAGTCTAACTGAAGCTAGATTGTTCCCTATAATGGCATGCTTAGTGGAAGGTTCTATGAGGCGATGCAACCTGTTCAGCATGACTGACAGGGTTTAGGAATTTCAGATGAGACATTAAAGAAGAGAAGGCCTTCATCTGCCTTGTTGAGATGTTTTTTTTTAAACAATCCCATAACAGCACTATTCAAACAAAACTATGCCAGTTTGTGGATCCTGGTGTTGAAAAACATTTGCCTACAATAAAGTTGGCTATCCCTGGCAGTAATTCTGAAGTGTTTTGATATGACAAGGCTAAATATACAAAGTCTTTCTTTTCGGACAAAAGTGAGACAAAGTGGGTGCAGTAGATCCAGTAAATAACGTAGTTATCTGAGGCAATAGTTTTGTTTGCAAAGAGGCAGCATACATACTAAACTCCGTACCCCTATCACACCAGTTCTAGCTAGGCTTCACTGGTTCCCTATCGATTTCAAGATCCTCACACTTGTCTTCAAGCCCCTTCATGCCCTGGCACCTCCCTACCTCTCTGACCTACTTACTCTCCAACTCACTACCCACTGCCTCCGCTTGACTGGCTCTAGCCTACTGCTTGTTCCTCGTATCCTCCGTTCCACGATCGGTGGCTGCGCTTTCACCCACTATGGACCGAAACTCTGGAATGCGCTTCCTCTATCCCTCCGCCTTGTCCTTCCTTCCCCATCTTTACGTCATCCCTAAAGACTTTCCTATTCGACCGTGCCTATGGTCACCTCCCCGCTCCCCCCTGCTCGGAGTCGTGCTCCGCCACTGTTAAGCGCTTTGGGACACTACTCTGCATGAGCGGCGCTATGTAAATGCAAGTTGTTGTTGTACTATTATTTGTTTGACTTTGTTTTTCTTTTTTCCTTACTTTGCAGGTTGTTCTGGGGATATTTTTCTTCCTTGTGGCGCTTCTATTCATAATTGCTCTCTTTCTATCCAAGTAAGTTGATCACAGTTTCGTTATTCATTCTCATTTGCATTATTGACCAACAGGAGCCAGCCGTGTAGATTAGACTTGTAATGGGTTTAAAACGTCGATGTGGACAATGTTGATTTGATAGCTGGCGTTTTCTGGCAAGCAAAACTCTCGATTTGCTCCATCTCTCAGCAGGAGGAACATAGTCACTTTTACTGCAAACTAAAATTTTATGTTGTTTGCATTTAGTGGATAAAGAACGATTAGAAAAATTAGGGATGAGAAACTGCATTCAGCGCAATGAAGCTTGTCAGTCTGGTGCATTAACTCTCCCACCGTGGCTTCTTTTTAAGAGCACAGGACATGTTCGTCCCAGAAACTCTGCTCGAAATTTTTCATTATTTTCCTTGTGTTGGTGTAGTGTTTGTAAGGAGGAGTGTCGTTGCAGAGATTGATTAATATTGAGCTCTGTAAAGTCTTTACTGGCAGTTTTTGGTTACTATAGCAACGACAATACTGATTTCTTTATTATAACAGCTGCAGTTCTCTTGGATTGGATGGGAAAATGCAGAGTTTGGTTTCATAACTGATTCTGTCACATTGAAACATCACATTTTTCACCACATTTAACCCATTTGTTTCTGCACAAATGCTCTTTCATAATTGAGCTGTTCCCAAACGGGAGAAACTGAACATTTTTTCACTGCTCTTCAAACTTCCTTCCGAAAACTGCCTTTGGGAGTAATATGTTAGTCGATTGTTAGGCGATTGGTGGATCACTTTTCCGGAGGTAATAATTCCTTCAAAAAAAAAATAAATTTGTCACTTCAGTCCAAGACTGATTGTGCGACACTGCTGTGTGTAATTGGCTGCTGCGTTTCGCCCACAAAATATACAGTCAATTCATTTTACAGTATATTCTGTGAAGCGCTTTGAGACATCTCGAAGACGTGATAAGGCGCTATATCAAATGCAAGGTTTATTATTATTATAATTTATTCCGCTTCAGTCTTTTTTCTGGCTAAATGTTGCAAGGTTTTTGTTTCTCAATCTTTCATCATTTGGAACACCATCCCAGTCCCTTTGCCCCTAACCTGCCCTTCCTCGCAAAAGTCTTAGAACACATTGTTGCCGATCAACTTCACGCACACTTCTCCTCCCACTCCCTCTTTGAACCCCTCCAGTCCGGTTTCCACGCTGCCCACAGTACAGAGGCTGCGCTTGTGAAAGTCACAGACGACATCCTCTCTATCTGTGACCAGGGCACCCCGTGGCTCCTTGTCCTCCTGGATCTCTCCGCCGCGGTCGACACAGTCGATCACGCCATCCTCCTCCACCGCCTTTGCTCCGTCATCTACATCAGTGGGACTGCACTCGCCTGGTTCGAGTCTCACCTCACAGACCACCAGCAGTACATCTGCACAAACGGCTTCTCCTCCCACTCTCACCCGATCACCTGCGGGGTACCCCAAGGATCCATCCTTGGCCCCCTGCTCTTTCTGATCTACATGCTCCCTCTTGGGGATGTCATCCGCAGACATGGGGTACATTTCCACATGTTTGCAGATGACAACCAACTCTATTTTTCCACCTCTCTTTGCGACCCCCAGTCCCCTGATGTTCTGTCAGCTGCCTGTCAGACCTCAGGGGCTGGATGAGAGTAAATTTCCTTCAGCTGAACGTTGACAAGACGGAAGCCATACTCTTTGACTCTCGTCAATATCTAAAATCTCATGGCTCTCACCTCCTCCACCTACCCGACCTCCCCCTAAAACTCTCCAAACCCGTACCCAACCTTGGTGTCACGTTCGACCCCCAATTATCCTTTCTCCCCCACATCCAGTCCCTCACCAGCACCGCTTTCTTCCACCTCCGACACATTACCCGTCTCCGTCAATACCTCTCTCCGAAAGCCGCTGAAACCCTGGTCCATGCCTTTGTCACCTCTCGGCTGGACTATTCTAATGCCCTCGTCGCCGGTCTCCCCTCCACTACCATCGATAAAATCCAGATTATTCAAAACTCTGCCGCCGGCATTCTCACCCGCACCAAACTCCGCTCCACGATTACCCAGTCCTTGCCAGACTGCACTGACTGCCTGTCCCAGAGAGGATCGACTTCAAGATCCTCACCCTTGTATTCAAATCCCTCCACTCCTCTGCACCCCCCGACCTCTCTGACCTCTCTCCTCAAAACAGTGCCCGTTGCTTACGTTCCTCTGGGTCTGGCCTCCTCCTCGTCCCCCGAGTCCTCCACTCCACCCTCGCCGGCCGTGCCTTCAGCCACTATGCCCCGAGGGTCTGGAACTCCCTTCCTCACTCCCTTCGCCTCGCCCCCTCTCTTCCCATTTTCAGGTCTCTGCTGAAGACCTTTCTTTTCGACCGCGTCTTTGGTCACCTTCCTCCCCCTCCCCCGGCTCGGCCCCAGGATCCGTTACTGTAAAACGCTCTGAGACGCCGTCCGGCATGGAGGGCTCTATATAAATCTAAGTTGTTGTTGTTGTTGCCTTGCTTCCTCCCTTGCCTCCTTCATAGCACGTCTCAAGACCCTTCTCTTCAACTGCGTCTTCGGTCACCCTCATACCCCCTATCCTTCCAGTCCTCCATCCCTCCTGATCCCAATCCCCTGCTCGGGTCCAGTCCCTGATTGTCAAGCGCTTTTGTACGTCCTCCCGAGATGAAAGGCCCTGTACAAATGTATTTGTTGTTGTTTTTGCATCCTATGGCTTTCTACTAACTATTTGTTCCCAGTACATTTTAAATATGCTGCTTAGATCTGCATTATGTTTCTTTCAACATATTGTAGTCCAAAATCGTGTGTCCTCTCCATCTTTACTGCTTTTAAAACGTATATATTTTCAGTTCTATCATCCTTTTTATTCATTTCCTGTATAAATGACAGGATCATCCTCCCCATTCGTCTCTGAACCTTTGCAAATGCAATAATGGCCTTTTAAGGAAGATTGCTCACAATTGTGGCCTCTTTTGTATGAGGTCGATGTGAAATTCAGCTTCCTAAGCAAACACTCTCTCGAGAGGGATTCCTTTTCTCGTTAGCCTCGCAGAGAGGTTAAAATGAAGATTGGCATGATGTTGTCTTGCAGCTGCTTTATTGCTACCATTCTAAGCCTTGGCTGGATTCATCCCGTGCAGCATTGTTCAGTAAATGTTTGTAGTAGTGTTCTCAGGAGGGACAGTATTGTCTCTGGGAATGCACTACAACAACAACTACTATTTGCATTTATATAGCATCCTTCACACGAGTCGTAATCTCAAGAGGCCTTAACAGCAGCCTCTGAGATTGCAACTTGTATGACACTGAGCTGTAAATTGAGGGGAGGGGCCCGAAGGCAAGGTAGCCTATGTAAACTAATGTAGACTATGATGAGGGACTGGGTAGACTTGGGATGTATTGCTTAGTATCAAGGTGGTTTGGGATGATTCAATTGCGGTGCTGAAAATAATGAATAGAATTGACAAGTACTGCAGTACTACTGCAAGGTGACCGTATCGGAATCTTCCCCGGTTGATACAGGTTTGCTTAGATCTTAGGTCTACAATGCGCACTGTACCAGAAGCACGTTACACCCAGTTTCTTGTGCTGATGAACCGGCTTCTAGGATTAAATAATGTCCGTCTTGCAGGTGGTTACTATGTGTAGTCGATTTCACTTGTACAGGTGTGCTATGCATAGGAAGTGCTGCTGACGCCATATCACAAAGGAAGTGATGGCAGCAGCAATCCAGATCTGCCTTATTCTTACATGTTTTGTTTTAATGCCGAAGTCTGAGAGAAAATACATCGGATTGTTTAAAAATGGGGCGGGGGAGATAGGTTTTTTTGAAGTAATATTAAGTATTAAAGGGCGTAGGGAAAGTGGATTAATAGATAATCTAATAAACTGGCAGAACAGACTCGGAAGCAATCATTCTCATCCTATTCCTAATTTCTCTTTGAAACGAAACCCAAGTCAAGGGTTGTGTCAGATGAGCCAATAACCGGTGAACACAGGCCAATTGTGAGAATGGGACTTGCCTGTCTATGACCTGCATGTTAAAAGAACATCGACGTTTTACATCTACATCAGAAAATAAAATGCAGCGACTTTAACGCAATGCGGAGCTTCTGAGTCTGTTGTAAAGCTTGTGAAGGATTTGATCTTACAGAACCGGTGCTGCTCAATCAGAGCTATCAGCAGCTTCTCATCTGCTTCAATTGGAAGCCAGGCCATTTCTAGATGTGACTCCTATAATGGTATGAAAACAATAACAAGTTGCCTTTATACAGCGCATACATCCCCTCCAGTCCATCACCGACGGATGAGCTTACAGCCACTATATCCTGAAGCTTTGGAGCTCTCTCCTATCCCCCTGGAACACTCTCCCTCAAACCTTCTGCCTTGCCTTGCCCCCTCTTCCATTTTTCAAGTCCCGGCTAGAAGCCTTTTTTTTGACCGTGCTTATAGTCACCTACACACACCCCCACACCCTCCCCCACCCCGGCTTGTAGTCAGGCTCCGCCACTGTGAAGCACTCTGAGACACTGACCTGTGTGAAGAGCGCTCTATAGATGCAAGTTGTTGTAGTTGTTGATGTGGCTTGGAGCACTTAAGGTGCTGATTGAGCACCCATACACTAAAGAGAACCTGCTTAATATTCTGGGAACTGTAGATGGGTGGGGGGGGAATGCGGTGAGCATGCCTCTTGGCTTACTCCGAGAGAGACTTCCATTCACGGGATCGTTAGAGCTTTCACTGGAAGTCTGAGATTTGTACTTGAATTTTTTGGGATTTCTGATACACCGGTGTGACCAGTCTTGAAGACAACGCCACTAATAGCAACAACATTTATATAGCACCCTTCACACAGGGTAGCGCTTGCTAATCGACAAGTCTTTTGTAATTTTAAGAAGCAATCCTCAACTCCTGTATCGTTTTGGTTAGAGCAAGCGCCTTGCAATCGAGAGGACCCATGTTCGATTCCTGGGTTCTCTTGCTTGCAAAACCTTAGGCAAGTTTCCTTACTCTTGCGTGGGACACCTGTTTACCTGCCAGTAAGTAGGAACTTGGTTGTTAGTCAACTGGCTAATCCTTCAAAAAATAAATATATTGGTCACTCAATCTACGATTGTTTGTGGGACACTGCGGTGTGCAATTGGCTGCCATGTTTCGCCCACAAAATATGCAGTCAGTTAATTTTAAAGTATATTCTGTGAAGCTCTTTGAGATGTCTCAATGATGTGATGAAGGGCTATATCAAACACAAATGCAAGGATTATTATTATCACATGAGATTTGAATTCACACACGCTCCAAGGTGTATATGTATAGAACACTGATGTTGATTGACTTAATTCGGCAAGAAGTATGTAAATTGAGCTTCTTGCTTCACTTGCATTGGTGTCTTAGCTCCCAGCAGTAAAAGAAAGACAGGATTAATTAGCCTTGGTTGTGGAGTGATGATTGCCGTAATGACAGATTGTGGCAATAGTTTGCAACTTGCAGGGAAGAAACCAGGACCGAGAAAACCGTTCTAGCTGCTCCATTTGTAAAAGAAATGGAAAATTGATTAGCCTGGATTGTTAGTAGAGCAAGAGGAATGTCGCACAGGATAAATCCTGTTCAGAGGGGCATATATCCTTGTAATGTTCTGATTCTGCATTGTACGTGGACAAGTGCTTTGTTCATTTAAATTGCAGTGTTGTAAATCCATTTTTTGGTCAGCCGGGTATCTTGACACATGAAGAAATCCATCTTAAGAATGTGTTTAAGAGCATCCGTCCAAACTGAGAATACCATGCATCCCACCTACACATGGGAATCCCAGAGATAGATTGTTGGAATGGCATGCGCGCTCTTTCCTTGTAGGGACAGATCCTGCTTACCTAATTCCGGAAAGTACTAGGCGTAGGTTTGCAAGAGCCAAGGCTTGGGGACCCTAGAGTGTGTGTTGGAGTAACTGCTGGAGTCTACTAGCAATTAATAATTTTTAATTTCTTATTGGGTAATAGGCATGTTTGTTGCAACTGATTAAAAGTTGTATAAAATTCCATCTCTTGACATTGCACCAGTTAGGAGTGGTGGAATTCCCTTAGCAAGTATAAGCGGGTTAATTTGCTGCAAATAATTTACAGACGATTAATTATTTTGATCAACCCGACTTCGGAGCGACTTAAAGCCCAGCCCATTGATGTATTAAGTAAAGAGGTATCTATTAAGTGTGCTTATGAGCCTCACTTAAAGCTTGTGCTTTAAAAATTCTAATTCCTCACGGATCTCTCAATCAGTTATTTATGCCTTGTTTAAAGGTTTATTTAAAATGTTATTGTCCACAACTCTGCTATGCGCTACCATGTATTTTCAGATGTGCTTTATGATATCCGGACTATGGAGTAGTTCTGCTTCAAATGGATTCTGGTTCACTGTGCGTGACTTCAACTGGAGCGAGCATTGATATTCTTTTCAATATTTGACTTCTCTATTTCTAGCAAGGCTACAAAAATTGTGAGACGATTCCTCAGAGATGCCACTCTGTTGTTATATATTTTAATGGTTTGAAAAATTGTGATTATCTATGTAAAATTGGCATTAAAGAAATTGATTTCCCCCTAAATTTGAGCATGCTACAAAGGACAAATGTGAACTCTTTATTTTTTGTTGACACATGCGGAAACCTGTCACCCTGCTTAAGAGTATCCAAACGGCCTGTGTTCCATCTACACATGGGAATTTCCCTGTCTGGAATGGGATACAGGATGAGATGTTAGAAAATGGTACATTGCAGGGTTTTTTTTAGTATCATGTAGTAGCTTGTGGCATTATTAATTATTTGTTTGCGTGCATATTTCAAAGCAGCTGTTGCACCATTCCTTTGGCTGGCTAGTCTTGCGAGGATACTCCTGCTCCTGTAAGATCTGCTGACTTGCTGTGTTCTGTCAGGAGTGTTTCTGTTCTGTCATTGGCATTGCTGAGATTGCTAACTAGGTGTAATGGTGAGTAAGCAGTGTAAAAGGCTAATTTACTGTGCAAGAATTAACTTGGATTATTTCCCCCCTCATCATATCCTATGTCACTTGCTCAGTTAGCTTCTCCAATGCATATAGCCAATCTTTACATTGCTGAAGACCTGATGATTCATTTTAAGAACATAGGAACAAGAGTAGACCATTCAGCCTCTCGAGCCTGTTCCACCATTGTATAAGATCATGGCTGATCTGTACCTCAACTCCAATTACCCGCCCTTGCCCCATATCCCTTGATACCCTGTCCTAACAAAAAGCTACTCACCTAAGTCTTGAAAATTTAAATTTTCTTTAAAAATTCTCTCAAACAACTTTTTCTGTCCTGGTTGATTAAAATCAATTAAAATTAAAATGTTAAAATCACAGAGACTGGTTGTTGTACAGCAGGACAGGGCTGCTGGCTTCTGAGGACTGGGTGGGAGGAAGGAGGAGATTAGGCCACGTGGGGAGTAGCTGGAGTCTACTCAAACTTCCTGCACAGTAGCCTCTGGTCTGAGGGAGGAGAACCCACTATCATCCAGGTGTGACTGGGTGAAGCGTGGAGAGATCTGAGAATCGTAATCATCATTGTGTTTGGTGTAGAGCTTTATCACGTCGGAAGGACGTCTCAAAGCACTTCACAGGAATTATTGTGAAATGGAGCACAATTGCGCACAGCAACATCCCATCAACAGCCATGAAACAAATGACTAATTTTATTTGGGGCATTGTTGGACAAGAACACCTGGAAGGAGAAACTCTTCTCTTTTTGGATATGGATTATTTGTTTTATTAATTAATTAATTATTATTAGTATCCCTTTTCAACCCTTTGAATGGCAACGGAGTTTATCTGGTTTAACTTGTGATTCCTGCCATGGGTAAATTTAGGAATTGAGTTGAGATTCATCTCACTAATACATAATGTGCCTTTTGGTTAAATTTCACGGTTGGTCTTAATAAGGCCTGGACAACAACCTTTGTTTTCCGAAACCCACAAACCTGCTGCAACCAATTTCTTAAATGGTATTATTTTTATTCCAGCTTGGATAAAGCACTCCACTCAGTGGGGTTTGACTCCGGATTCATAATCTTTGGAACTAATCTAGCGAATCCTTTGAACAAGCTTTTACTTGAACTACAAACAGTAAGTATAAACCTGAGGGTTCATTTGATCCCTAATAAAATGATCAACAATGCTAATTCCCATTCTGCAGTAGTAGTAGTAATAATAATCTGTGCATTTGATATAGCACCTTTCACATCAGGAGCATGTCTGAGTGCTTCACAGAATATATTTGGAAGTATATTGACTGATTTTAGGCAAACTTGAACTCTTGGTCAATTTACAGTGATTTCTCTCTGGAAATTTAAAACTTCAGTGTGATTTGCTATGGTCTCATGATCCTCATGCTGAAGACTGGTCCACTGTGAAAGAAATTCTCGTTTAGCTCTTACGAGTTCAATCTTCATTCTTTTTGCTTCACCATTTGTCACTGTATTCAGAAACAATGCCTTCTGAAACTCTTGCAGAATTCTGTTTACCTCGCAGTAAGTAGGCACCCGGTTTTAGTCGATTGGCGGATCGCTTTCCGGGGATAATAATTCCTCCAAAAAAAAATTAGTCACTCAATCCACAGCTGTTTGTGGGACACTGCTGTGCGCAATTGGCTGCCACGTTTCGCACAAAATATACAGTCAATTCACTTTACGGTATATTCTGTGAAGCGCTTTGAGACATCTTGAAGATGTGAAAAGCGCTATATCAAATGCAAAGAATGTGGAGTCCTGTAGCTCAGTGGTTAGAGCGCTCACCTTGCAAGCGAGAGACCTGGGTTCAATTCCAGGCAGAGGGCGAAACCTTGGGCAAGTTTCCTTACTCCTAAGCCTAATAATCCCTCCAAAAACAATAATAAATTGGTCATTTTCAATCCACGACCGTGGGACATTGCTGTGTGCAATTGGCTGCCGTGTTTCGCCCACAAATATACAGTCAATTCACTTTACAGCATATTCTGTGAAGCGCTTTGAGACGTCGAGAAGACGTGAAAAGCGCTATATCACATGCAAGGGTTATTATTTTTTTTTAAATCCTACCTCTTAAATCCTTTTGCTCAATCTTTTGTCACTGTATCCAGTGACAAAAGTGACAATGCATCTGTCTTCTGAAACTTTTGCAAAACCACTTTGTCTTGCTCTTTCTGCCTTCAAAAGCTTCCTAAAAATGGACCTTTGATCGTGTTTTCAATCAACATCTTCACGTATACTTCTGTGCTCAGTGTTTACTTCTACATCTGTCAAGTGCTTTTAGACAGTAGTTTATGTGAGAGCACTACACAGGTACAAGTTGCTATCTTACATTTTGGTCCCTGACAGACTGTAGAAACGGCCGGTATTTCAACTCCCCGCAGCTCAATGCACTACAGTCTTTCAGGATGTCCCTCCTGAGCTGAGGGGGTGGCAAGCTGGTCTCTTTGACCCCTGCAGCTCCTAACTACCTGTTCCTGCCGCTGCCATGAGAGGACGGTACGCTGGGGAGAGAGGGTGCGGGTAGGCCTATGAAATCATCCACAGGGCCAGTTGTGGCCTCTGGGCCGCCAGTTACTCATTATTTAGGCAATCAAGTGTGATTTTTGTTGCCAACACTGTAATTGTAGTAAAATTGTAGTGTAACTGAAACTGTAAAGCAAACAATAACAACAGCAAACTTACATTTATAGAGCACCATTAACATCGGGAGGACGTCCCAAAGCGCTGAACAGTCAGGTGTTGGGGTCTGAGCATGGGGGAGAGGTGGTGTAGGGGTGAGGGAAGGCAGAGAGGTGGGAGGGAGACCAAAGGCACGGTCGAAGAGAAGAGTCTTGAGACCAGCCTTGAAGGAGGCAAGGGAGGAAGCGAGGCAGAGAGACTGTGGGTTGGAGTTCCAGAGTGTGGGGGCAGAGAGGCTGAGTCGGAAAGGAGGGTCTTGAGGTGGTCTTGAAGGTGGCAAGGGAGGGGGTGAGGCGGAGGAAGTGGGGGATGGAGTTTCAGAAGTTGGGGGCAGAGTCACAGAAGGCCCGCCCACCAATAGCGGGGCAAGTGAGTCGGAGTTTTAAAGCAGGCCAGAGCCCGCTGAGCCAAGGGAGCGAGCAGAATGGTAGAGGGTAGGAGGTCGCAGAGGTAGGGGGGAGCAAGACCATGAAGGGCTTTGAAGGTGAGGACCAGGATCTTGAACTGTATCCTCAGTGCGATGGGAAGCCAGTGGAGTCGGGCAAGGATGGGGGTGATAGAGTCATGGAGCCTGGTGCAGGAGAGGACACGAGCTTCCGAGATCTGCAGCCTATGGAGGGAGGAGTTGGGGAGCCTGACACGCAAGGAGTTTGCATAGTCGAGCCTGAATGTAATGAAAGTGTATGAGGGTCTCGGCGGCCTGCGGTGTGAGTCAGTGGCGGAGTCGGGCGATGTTATGGAGGTGGGGGAAGGCAGAGCGGGTCATGGCGCAGATGTGGGGTAGAAAGGATAGTTGAGGGTCAAACAAGAATCCGAGGTTCTGGACTGGCTTTTTAAGGTGGAGTGTACAACCATGGATGGTGATGCTGTCAGCGCCTGAGGTGAGGAGACGCTGACGGAAGCCAATCAGGAGAGCCTCGGTCTTGTTGATGTTCAACTGAAGAAAGTTAGCTCTCATCCAGGACTTGATGTGTGACAACATTCAGTCAAGACAGCAGTGGTCCTAGAGTCAAGGGTGGAGGCAGAGAGATAGAGTTGGGTGTCATCCGCATACATGTGGAAATTGACCCCATGTCTGTGGATGATGTCACCAAGAGGAAGCATATAGTTATTGAAGAGGAGGGGACCAAGGACAGAGGCCTGAGGAATGCTGCACGAGATGGTGCGGGGGCTAGAAGAGAAGCCATTTGTGGAGATGAAGTGCAGGCGGTGTGAGAGATATGATCTGAACTAGTCAAGGACAGCAGTGAAGGTTGATATGAGAGGAGAGACGGTGGATGAGGATAGAGTGGTTGACAGTGTTGAAGGCAGCAGAGAGATCAAGGAGGACGAGGAGTCAGAGGGAGCCCTGGTAGTAGATGGACAGAATGTCATTTGTCACTTTGACCAGGGCTGTTTCTGTGCTGTGGGTGGCATGGAAACCCGGTTGGAGGGGTTTATGAAGGGAGTGGTGGGAGAGGAAGGAGCGAAGCTGGGAAGCAACAACTCGTTCCAGGACCTTGGAGAGGAAAGGGAGGTTGGAGATGGGGCAGTAGTTTGAGAGTGGGAAGTGGGTCCAGGGAGGGTTTTTTAAGGATAGGAGTGATGATGGCGGTTTTTAATGGGGTGGGAACATTACCAGTGGACAGGGAGAGGTATATGATGTCTGTGATTAGAAGTGTAAGGAGATGGAGCTGGGAAGTAAGAAGAGGGATAGGGATGGGGTCGAGGAGCAGGTGGTTGGTTTCGTGGTGGTGAGAGAGGAGTGGGAGACAGATTCAAAGGTGTGGAGGGAGGGATGGGTAGGGGCCGGGGTGGGGGAGGGAGATGGGGAGGGTATAGTGGACGGATGGGCAGAGGCAACTGAGCAGATCCCCTTGACTTTGGATTCGAGGAAGTCCAGCATTGCCTTCCAGTTGGCATTGGAGGTGAGGATGGGTGAGGCATGAGAGGGTGACCAGAGGAACCAGTTGGTGATGGAGAAGAGGAATCTGGGCTTGTCCTTGGCATCCAAGATTGTCTTGGTGTAGATCGATGATTTAGCGGAGGCGAGGGCGGAGCGGTAAGATTTGATAAGGTCCAGCCAGATCTGCTGATGGACCGTTATGTTTAATTTAAGCCAGGTGCATTCAGCGGCACATACTGGTGCTTTAAGGGAGGGGAGGTGGCTGGTGTACCATGGTGACTTACGTGAATAGGAGACGGTTCGGGAAGAGAGGGGACCAAGGGAATCGAGAGTGGGGGAGAGGGAGCTGTGGAGAAGAGGATGATAGGTCATTGCGGGAGGAAGCCCAGTGATGAAGGAGCACTGCTTTGCCTGAGATGCAGTGCCTCGCTGTGTATGTAGAACCTTTTTTGTGTGTGCTCAGCATCTCTCTGGCAATCAGCCAGAGAGTCTATTTTGCTCTTTAATCCCTGGGAGGTTAAGCTTCCAGGTAGAGGTTGATGCCTATGGGTCAATGTTGCTGTGAGCAAATCCATCACTGTCTAGTTTTGGAACAGGGGAAAAGAGAATAGATTTCTTGTTCCTTCTGGACTCACCTAATGCCCTGGATTTATTGGTTTCCAATTTCCACATTATTAGATCTTCTCAAGGTACAGTAAACCTGTGGAACAGGCTCCCTAGGGAGACGGTTGATTCCTTCAAACACAGATTAGATAGTTTTCTTTTCGGAAATAACATTATGGGATTTAGTACGTAGGTAGTTCGGGACATATGTGCCTGTGACCGCCAGGAGGGGTAAGACGAACTAGATGGACCTTGGTCTATTTTTCATCAAGCATTTCTTATGTTCTTAAGATATTGAATATTTCCTACTTTGCGGCTGAGATGCACCTTATGTTTTGATTAGATCTAAGTGTCTACTGAATGATTTTACTTTAATAACGTTGCATCAACCGATTGCTTTTCTTGCTTATTCCCAACTGCACACCTTTGATAAAAACTTGCCACACTTTTTGATGAGGAAAGGAAAATAAGCAAACGCCTGTTAAGCAAAAGTCTGTTATAGTGTTAAGGCCTCCCTCTTTTCCATCCACAAATCTGGGTCGGAGCACAGAAATTGCACAAAGTTAAAGCTGTACAAAACCATATTTTGTAAAGATTCTCATCCGTTAGAAAACATTCTGCACTGGAAATTTCGATAAGATCTCCAAAATAACTCCTGTCAATCAACAACAACTTGCATTTATAGAGCGTCTCTCACGCAGGGTAATGTCCCAGAGAGTTTAACAGTGGACACCGAGCCGGGGAGGGTAGGGAGGAGGTGACCGTAGGTACGGTCGGAAAGGAAGATCTTCAAGCACTCTCAAATGCTCTCCTGGCCAATCCCACGATTTGACCATTTATACGTTTCCACTGTGACCCTTGACAGATAGAACTCTCGAGACATTGCAGAAAAATGCACTTGCTCAAAGTAACGGATTGTATAGTGTCCATCTCTTGTTTTTGTTTGCCCCCCACCCCCCAGATTTTAAACTGTTTGAAATCTTAATTTAATTTGCATCGCTCCTCATAGACAGGCCATGCTGAAACCTGAAAACTCTGACTTAGGTGTTGAGCACATTTTAGTATTGGCTTTCTGTTTACGTGTGGTCACTGGTCAAGTGGTTGGTGGCATCTTGTGATTGTGCTGTTATAAGGCGGGTTGGGTTTTTATCGACCTCTCCAACTACTGTGATAATGTGACTCTTCAGGATTTAGTTGTGTTTTCTACATGCAAATTGACACTTCTCTTTTCTTTGGAGGTTTTCCCATTGGATTACATCCTCATTGCCATCATCACTGTGTATCTCGTCTTCACTTCCATGGCCGGGATCCGGAGTATGGGCATCTGGTTTTTCTGGATGAGGGTAATTTTTGCATTCTATCGGGCTGGTCCCTTCCAGCTATTCAAGTAGACGTTAAAGATCCCACGGGAGCCACTCAAATAGAACTGAGTTTCTCCCAGTGGCCTGCAGGGTGATCACAAAGTCCTGTTAGCCCCGTGTTTTTATTCTACAGTGCAGTAAACAACAACTGAAACATGTAGAAGATTGATGACAATTGTATTTAGAAGTACTTAATTGTATTCAGTACAAGTGTTTAACTGTATTCAGATGTCCAGAGGGTTGGTGGGAGTGAGCGCCATCATTTTCATGGCAGATAATGATCCATTGCCATCTTCCCTAACATGGATGGAGTGAGGAGGAAGTTACTGGCATTGTTACACTCGACTCACCTGCAATAGAAAGCTAAAAAAAAAGTGGGGTAACAGGACTTTGTGAACACCCTGTAGTTAACAATCCTCCAAGTATATCTCACTGCTATTTTCTGGGTCCTTGCTGTGCTATAGGGGCTGTGTTCACCTACAAATAGCATTGGCAGTGGAAGTTCATGAATAGGCAGAAATAACACTAAAGGGGCAAATTGCATGTAATTCATTGAAATAGCGCAAAGTATCAATATTAATTAAACTTGGTTTCACTCCTTGGTTTAAAATGTTTAAGTCACAAAAGTTAAAACTCCAACTTAAGCTCTAGCTTTAGCAGTCCCATTGCTTGGGACTGTACCTTTGCATAAAAATTCTTGCCCCCAATTTATAAACAAGCATGAAGCCTTAAATTGCAAGAACGCTGACAGGCACAGCCTGAACGTGTCATCCGTGAAGTAATATGATTTGTTCCCTGTCTTTCAATCTCTTTTTGCAAATAGCTGTACAAGATCAGACGAAGACGAACCCGCCCCCAGGCTCTTCTTTTTCTGTGTATGATTCTCCTCCTGATGGTTCTGCACACCAGCTACATGATCTACAGCCTGGCCCCCCAGTACGTCATGTATGGAAGCCAAAAATACCAGGTGCAGGTAAGTGTTGCTCAGTGACGTTTTTCACACACTCCCCCCCGTAACTCAGCCTGCTATAATTGGCAGTTTTGAATAATAATAGTAATAATATGAATCCTTGCATTTGATATGGCGCCTTATTATAACATAACATGTAGGAGCAGGAGTAGGCCATTCGGCCCTTTGAGCCTGCCCCGCAATTCAATCTTGGCTGATCTTCTAATCTAACTCCAGCTAATAACCTGACCCTACCTTATCCCCATATCCCTTAATCCCTTTAGCAATAAGAAATCTAACACATCGTTGAAATGTCTCAAAGTGTTTCACAGAATCTACTGTAAAGTGAGTTGACTATATTTTGTAGGCGAAACACGGCAGCTACTTGTGCACAGCAGTGTCCGACAGTCGTGGATTGAGTGACCAAATTAATATTATAATTCTTCAATTTGAAGGGATTATTACCCCCGGAAAGCGGTCCAAAAGTAACAACCGGGTTCCTACGTACTGCTATGTAAAAGTAACGCCGCTATTTAAGAAGGGTGGGAGACAAAAATGGGGAACTGTAGACCGGTTAGTCTGACATCAGTGATAGGGAAAATTCTAGAATCCTTAATTAGGAACGTCGTAGTGGGGTACTTAAAGACCTTAATTAGGCAGAGTCAACATGGCTTTACAAAAGGGAAATCATGTTTAGCAAATCCTTTAGAGATTTTTGAGGATGTAACTAGCAAGTTAGATAGGGGGGAACCAGCAGCTGTAGCGTATTTGGATTTCCAGAAGGCATTCGTCAAGGTTGCCACATAAAAGGCTGTTGCATAAGATTAGAGCCCATGGAATTAAAGGTAATATATTAGCATGGATTGAAGAATGGCTAACGGAAGAAAACAGAGAGTAAGGATAAACGGGTCCTTCTCAGATTGGCAGGATGTGACTAGTGGAGTGCCACAAGGATCAGTGCTTAGGCCTCAATTATTTACAGTCTATATCAATGATTTAGATGAGGAAATAGAACTTAACATATCTAAATTTGCAGGCGAAACAAAGCTAGTTGGGAGGGTAAGTTGTGAGGATGACACAAGAAGAATGCAAAGGGAAATAGATAGGCTAGGTGAGTGGGCAAGAAGGTGGCAGATGGAGTATACGTGGGGAAGTGTGAAATTATTCACCTAGGTAGTAAAAATAGAAAAGCGGATTATTTTCTAGAGTGGGAGAGACTAGATAGTGTTAGTGTTCAGAGGGATTTGGGTGTCCATGTACACCAGTCACAAAAAGTTAGTATGCAGGTACAGCAAGCAACTAGGAAGGCTAGTGCCATGTTGGAGTTCATTGCAAAAGGGTTAGAATACAAGAGTAGGGAAACCTTGTTGCAGTTGTATAAGGCCTTGGTGAGACTGCACCTAGAATATTGTGTGCAGTTTTGGTCTCCTTATTTAAGAAAATACATATTTGCCTTAGAGGGGGTGCAGCATAGATTCACTAGGTTGGTTCCTGGGATGAGGGGGTTGACCTATGAGGATAGGTTGAGTAAACTAGGCCTATATTCTCTAGAATATAGAATTAGAGGTGATCTTATAGAAACCTTGAAGATTCCTAAGGGTTTTGACAGGGTAGATGCCGTGAGACTGTTTCTCCTGGTTGGAGAATCTAAAACAATGGATCACAGTCTCAAGATTGAGGGTCAGCCTTTTCGAACTGAGTTGAGGAGACATTTCTTCACTCAGAGGATAGTGAATTTGTGGAATTTTCTATCCCAGAGGCTGGGTATGCTCAGTCCTTGAACATATTCAAGACTGAGTTTGATAGATTTCTAAAGGATAGAAGGATTAAGGGATATGGGGATAGGGCGGGTAAATGGAATTAGGTTAGAATCATCCATGATCTTATTAATTTGGGGCCAGGCTCGAGGGGCCGAATGGACTACTCCTGCTCCTACGTCTTATGGTCCAAAAGTGTGTGTGGAGTAAGGAAAGTTGCCTGAGGTTTGGCCCCACCCAGGAATCGAAACCGGTCCTCTCGCTTGCGAGGGGAGTGCTACAGTATGCTACAGGCCTCCATTTTTCTTTGTAATCTGGTCACCAGTTGACTTGCCTGTCAAAATGGGCGCAATTACTGTTTGTGGGACATTGCTATGCGCAAATTGGCTGCTGTGTTTGCCTGCAAAAAATATCAATTGTTTTGAAATGTCCTCCCAATGTGAAAGGCACTATATCAAATGCAAGGAAAACCATCCAAATCCTATATTTTTTTTGTTATTGGAATTTTCTGTCTAAAATGTGAGTTATCAAAAGAACATGGTTGACCAGATTTTTTTTGAATAATATTGAAAAGCAGCCATGTGCAAAATTTGTACCAAACTGCATTGTTTGGCTGCTTTTTGTTCCTGTAAAGGCTTAACTTTGTATTGTTCGTACAAATTACTTTTCTTGAACTGCTTCATAAATCACATTTGATGGAATTCTCAGTTTTCAACCCATATAAGTGTATATAAAAACGATTATAATATTGGAATAGGAACAGTTCAAGGTGTAAGTAATCGGAAAGTGTCCATTAGAAAAAGATTTAGCAATGATTGACTATTCAATAAGTTTCCAGTCATTGTGAAACCGTTAAGACTTAACGTACTGGGATCCATCTTGAGGGAGTTTCAAGACAGTTTGTGGCAAAGGGTTTATGAAGTTCAAGCAATTACATTTAATTACATTTATGTAGCGCCCTTCACACTATAGTGATAGTGCGTCAGAGAACTATGCAGTGGTGGATTTGGACACCAAACGAACTACATTGTTAGCTACTACACTCCAAACCTCTGTAACGTCATCTCTCCCCTTTATATTTAAATCCTGCCTAAAAAAACTACGTTCTCCATTACATCTATAGGTCATTTTCCACTACCTCTCTTCCATCGCTTGGTGTCCGACCCCATCCTTGTGGAGCATTCTGTAATCCTCCGTGAAAGGCACTATATATAATTACTGTTTGTTTAATGCTTGATGAGATTAACCAACCTTCTCTCAATCTGTGTCTTATATTATGAGATAGCATTTACTGGAAATCAGTACCATACATCTCTGTACGTGGTGTTAAGGGGATTTCATCCTCTAACAAAAGATTCTGCAAATTTTCACTCTTGTCTTCAATGGTAAATTAAAAATTGCACATTGTGAGGACATCCCAAGGTGCTTAATAATCCTGGCTTGTCCCCTAGCTGGGGGTGGGAGCTTAGTGGGATGGGGAAGGGGAAAGGTGACTGAAAGCACAATTAAAGTGAGATGTCTTGAGATGCACCTTGAATGAGGTGAGGGAGGGAGGGAGATGGAGAGAACTCTGGGATAGAGTTCTCGAGTTGGGTGCAGATGGGCTGAAAGTCCGACTGCAAACTGTTGTTGCTTTGGGCAAAATATTTCCTCAGTCTAGTAGCTCAGCATTGTATATCAGCTGTACTTAATCCTTGTGATCTTCAATCGGTCTGGTTTCTAGCCAGATGTTTGTCAACTCCCTTTTGAATTTGTTAATGGCATATGCAGTACTATTGCCATATTAGCGATTCTTCTTCAAATATCTGAGACCTGTGGGGGAGAAAAATCCTTCTAATCTGAAGTTTTGCTTGTGGCTTAATTTTCTTCTCTTCCTTTACAACAACTTGCATTTAGATAGCACCCTTCATGCCAGATGGCATCCTAGAGCGCTTGTTTTACACACATCTAAGTCAACTGAACTCCATGTAGCTAAATAGTTTCATTTCTCTCAGTATTTTAAGAGTTTGGATAATAATCTTTGCATTTCATATAATAGCACGTTTCGCTTCGGGGACGTCTCAAAGCGCTTCATAGGATTTGCTATAAATAATAATAATCAATATCAAATGCATATTTTGTTATTAATAATAACAATAATAAAATTCTTGCATTTGACATAGTGCTTTTCACATCTTCGAGACGCTTCAAAGCGCTTCGCAGAATATACTGTAAAGTGAATTGACTGTATATTTTGTGGGCGAAAACGCGGCAGCCAATTGCACACAGCATCGTCCCACAAACAGTTGTGGATTGAGTAGCCAAATTATTTATTTTTTTCTTTTTCTTGAGGGATTATTCTCAGGCGTGTGGAGTAAGGAAACTTGCCCAAGGTTTTGCCCTGCTAGGAATCGAACCCAGGTCTCTTGCTTGCGAGGCGAGTGCTCTAACCCCTGAGCTACAGAACTCCACATAAAATTTTGGAGGCGAACGGATCAAGTCTCATTTTTCTTTTTCCATTGAGAACCAGTTCAAAATCCTTACATCTAGGTTGGATTTCTTTGAAATCCTTGATAAACCAATGTTAGATCTGATAAGTCAATGCAACTTGAGATTCATTGCAATGGGATGCAGATTTATTTCCATTTGAATTGCCAGCAAATTATTACTGGTTATGTTTTGACCAGTCACTGGGGTCAGGGAATCATCCCACTCAGCTCCTGTTAACCCTGCAAGCCAAAGCCCTAACAGGTAGGGTGGTCCTAGCTGGACAAGCAGCAGGAAAGCTTGCCAGACAGGGATATCAATGGCAAGCTATGTGGGTTTAGCTGGTACTTCAGCAGGTCCCCAAGTCTTGGCTATTGCCAACCAGCGCTGAATACTCTCTGGAATTAGGTCAGCAGGATGTGTCCCTCCAGGGAGAGAGTGCACATTTCATTCCAACAATCTATCTCTGGGATTTCCATGTGTAGGTGAGATAATAATAATAATCATTGCATTTGATATAGCGCCTGATCACATCTTCGAGACGTCTCAAAGCACTTCACAGGATATATTGTAAAGCCTCCGGCCTGCTCCAGGTCTCCCGCCCGACCCGCCCTACCATCGGTGACTTGGCTTTCAGCCTCTCTGACCCCACCCTTTGGAACTCCATCCCCTCGCTCACTCTCTTGCCTCCTTCAAGGCATGACTCACGACCCTCCTTTTTGACTGTGCCTTCAGCCGCCCTCCTACCTCTCTGCCTCCCTCACCCCAACCCTGCCCTCCATGCTTGCTTTGGTCCTGATCCCTGACTGTTTAATTCCTTGGGACATCCTCCTGATGTGAAAGGAGCTTTACAAATGTAATTTTGTTGTTGACACGGGGATGAGTTTCCGCACGTGTCAGATGCCTTGCTGATCAAAATAATAATCAAACTATTATTTAGATTTCACCTTGTATTCTCTCGGAAATGCAGCATATCTGTTATGTGAACTATTCTCCTAAGAATAGAGAAAAGAATGATTGTTGGCAGATTGCAAGATGAGTGCCGATCTAAAATTGCTCTGTTAATTTGCTGCCATTTGTTTGTCACAGCATTGGATTCCTTTGTATGATGACATCTCAAAATTGTCGGCAATCAGCTCTCATTTTTAAACTACATCCACTCAGCAAATCGCTACCGTCTAATTGTTTCTTGGGGTACTTTGTCACCTAATTGTTTTTAATCTGTAGATTACATTTGAATAAACATACTACATTTTATTTGCAGCTCTGCAAACCAGTAACTCAAAATCACTGGGAATAAACGTTCTCTGCCTGTGTGTTGCATTTGCTTGGGAGCAACAACGGAGGAAAGTTTCAGAGCAGTGTTGATGATTTTGCCCACATAATACAGTCAATTCACTTTACGGTATATTCTGTGAAGCACTTTGAGATGTCTCAATAACGTGATAAGACACTGTATCAAATGCAAGGTTTATTATTATCATAGTATTGATTTTAAAATTGAGTGGGTTTAAATTAAGGTAATAATAATCCTTGAATTTGATACAATATTTCGCCCTGCCGGGAATCAAACCCAGGTCTCTCGCTTGCAAGGCGAGTGCTCTAACCACTAAGCTACAGGAGCTACAGGTACAAGATGTAATGAGAGCGATTGTTGTGAGCTCATGCCATACTTCAGGCCTTTGAGTATATGGTTAGGTGGACACTCCAATGAAGTGCTAGGCAGAGAGTGTTGGAGGAGCCATCTTTGGATAAGATGTTAAACCGAGGTCTCGCCTGCCTGTTTAGATGAATATTAAAGATCTGATCGGACTATTTGGAAAGAGAAGTGAGTTTTTCCTGATTTCCTGGCCACCAATCCCCCAGATAAAATTGGTTATTCGCGTCATTGCTGTTTGTGGAACATTTCTATATGCAAATTGGCTCCTGCTTTCACCTATAAATTATACAGTCAGTACACTTTACAGTAAATCCTGTGAGGGGTTTTGAGATTTGTTTGATGATGTTGGTTAGCCAGGATATCAAATGCAAGGATTATTCGATGATGTGGTTAGGCACTATATCAAATGCAAGGATTATTGTTTACTCACTTTTGGGACTGAAACTGGAAAGTATCCTTTTTATACAGAGGATAATCAATAGCTGGAACAGGAGCAATGTAGACACCAGGTCATTTTACGCAAGTATTCTTCCATCCTCAGTAGACTCCAGTGTTTGGATTGGCGAAATCTTCTCCTAGGTGCTGCAATTTAGAAAGCCAGTTTAAGTGAACTTTTAACACATAAGCAGTGCTAATAAGGTGTGGTATTTAAACAATGGAAGTATTAGAGATGTTCTAGTACAGATTAAGGGAAACTCATTTTTATTCCAAAGCAGTTGTTTTCCTTCCATTGCTAGGCATCAATGTAATTCCAGCAAATTCGCTGTACAATGAAACGTCAGATCATTTGGTTCTAATTTATTAGAAAACTACCATACAATTTTTCTTTGAACTGGGGTGAAATGCAAAGCTTCTTGGAAATCGTTCTTGGGTTTGCTGCACAAAAGCTGCTAGAGGCTTTAGATTACCATTAAACTACTGGATTTTACGCACTTTAATGATAACAGTGATAATCCTTGCATTTGAAATAGCACCTTATCACATAGTCAACATGACTAATGTGTTTCATAAGATATAGTGGTGATGTGGGGTGACTGTGTTTTGTGTGTGAATGCAGCAACTTTACAGTATATTCTGTGAAGCACTTTGAGATGTCTCAACAAAGTAATAAGGAGCTACATCGAATGCAAGGATTATTATCATTATTAACTAATTTGCGCACAACCAATTGACCCACAATCCACCATGGAGTAAGTTAACAATTTTATTTAAAGATTGTTGGCCAAGACACCGGGAGAGAGAAACTCTCTTCTCTTTTCGAATCGTGCCATGGGATCTTTAATATCCACCTGGACAGGCAGACAGTACCTCTGTTTATGTCTCATCTGAACCTCCGACATTGCAGCACACTCCCAGTACTGCACTGGAGCGTCAGGATAGACCGGGTTCCGAGTCTTGACTTATGGTTGAACCCACAGCCTTCCCACTCAGGCATGAATGCTACCAACTGTGCCAGGCTGACACACCACTTTATTGGAATTTAACAATCAATGTGTGTTTACTTGAGGCCATATGAAAATGCAATTCAATATCATGCTGGAGTGAGTACACAGCTAAACTTTGATGAATGAAATCTTAAAAAAAATCACAAATGCGTCTCATGTTAATTGACAGTTGAATAATTGGCAAAATCTGTTCCTCTAAGTGATTTTAAATGATCTTACATTTCGCTGTTTTTATCATGGCAGTTATTAATGGAACTTGTGGCTGCTATCTGAAGCCTTTCTAACAATCTCGACACAGTTAGACTATTAAAGTAAGTTTTTTTTTAGTTTGTATTTTTATCACATCCCAGGAAGTCAGCGATACTGTCACGCAGGAGCAATGGCTACAAGATTTTATTGTGGTGCAGTGTCACTCTGAAATAAAGCAATCTGCCGTAGAAGCCTCGAAGTGAATCTTCTATGGACATTATCACAGCTTTAAATCCTGTGTGTTGAGTGACAAATGAACATTAGAAAGCTTCAAGGTCACCAGTACATATAATTTAAGTTGTATAACAGTAGACTGGCTTTGGAGCTGGCAGTTTTTAATGGTTAATAAAAAGCTTCTGAGTTTGGGCATTTGTTTTGGATTGCCATAAATGAGAACGTTTTTTGAATGAAATCGGGTGAAAAATGTCTCGACTATAATTCAGGTTGAAGAAGGCACAATGACTTGGGAACTTTCTTTGACAACTTGTTTGCCGTTTTAAGCCTGCGCTTCCAAAAGCAAACTTTTATTGTGAGCTAAATTCCACTAGTGGTACTTCGAACCCTACACAAGTAGCCACTTGTGAAAAGCAGAGAGTTCTTGACTTGCCCAGTGCACTTGAATCTGAAACTGCAGTAACGGCTTGTAATTGGGGAAGGACTGAAATATATTGGTTAAGATTGGAGATGTCTGTGGCGGAACAGAACACCCGTTAGTGAAACATTCCTGGATTAAAATATCAACCGTGCGAAGTGACAGTTCATGGGGTGGGATTGATTATGCTCACGGAATTGTAGACTTGAACTTCTTATTCAGTTTCACTGAAGTCCATAGTGTGTAATGAAGCAAGTTTCTACCAGCTGTCATCTGTAACTAATCCATCAATTGTATTTTATGAGGTGCCTTATTGGGAGAAAGGTCTTTTAATGAGGTTCGTCTGAAATCGTTTTAGTCCGTATTCTTGCTGAAACGCAACACAATACAGTGTTGATTACTCGAGCATCAAATTGATCAGATTTGGGTTTGAGTTCCAATTTTAAATGGAAACGTTTTATTCCCTGCAGAATAAAGCAACCCGCTTCCAATTTAAGACTGGTTTGTTAGAATGTTGTACAATTCAAAAGACTTTTAATTTTAGGACAATATGGTCTTGCATTTTTACTGAGTAATTTGATGATCTGAAAATGCTTGAACCTGAAAATGCAGTAAAGGGTTGTACTTTGTGCAATTACCAAATTATATTATCTAAGATTTTAATGTGTTAATGCCTACCATTAGTCAACTAAAGGGAACAGTTTGACAATTTAGCTACTGTTTGGTCCTGTAGCACAAGTTTATTTTGAGGTGGAATAATTGATTTTGTTTAACAATGATCAACTCAGGCAAAGCTGTTACCTTAGAGTCTTGACCCAATACTAAATTTGTGGGTGTGGGGGTGTGAATAAAAGAGTACATTATTAAAGTTTATCAATAAAGTTTAATATTTTTTTTACTATTGTTTATACAGATCAACCAGACCTCAAATGCATGGCAAGGAAATTCAAATACCACCTTGGTGACTGAGATGTGTGATGCAAATGCACCTGAAGGTGAGTTGATAACCGATGAACACAGGTTATTCCAAATGTAGCATTGGGCCCCACACCTTTTAATGTGCACTGTATTGGTATCTATGATGGATGTGTGTTGTAACATTCTTTGATTCTGTATCTGTGACTGGTTACCTTTTTAGCAGTACAGCTGCTTCGACACGGTCTCTGTAGTCTTTAAGGACTCCGAGACGTCATGTGAAGGGCGCTATACAAATGCAAGTTGTTGTTGTCGTCTTAAACCATGGTTTGCTAGATTTGAGCAATCAATATGTGCTTAGAATGCGTATTTATAATAATAATCCTTGCATTTGATATAGCACCTTATCACATCATTCAGATGCCTTCTCTCCCCCCCCTGCTGGCCAACATGGTCAATCAGTCTCTCTCCTCAGGCTCTGTTACACTTCCCCTTAAAACCGCTGTTATCACACCCCTCCTCAAAAACCCACCCTCGATCCCTCTAGTCTCTCACACTACCGTCCCATTTCCAACCTACCCTTCCTTGCCAAAGTCCTGGAATGTATTGCTGCAGGTCAACTTCAGTCACATCTCTCCCTCCATTCCCTCCTCGAGCCCCTGCAGTCTGGTTTCCACCCTGACTGTCCACAGCACAGAGACAGTCACAAACTACATTCTGGCTATTTGTGACCAGGGCTCCCTCTGCTTCCTCGTCCTCCTGATCTCTCTGCCGCTTTCGACAATCGACCACGCCATCCTCCTCCATCTGCTCTCTTCTCTTATCTATGTTAGTGGGAACGCACTCGCATGGTTCGAGTCTTACTTAACCAAATGCCTCCATTTCATCTCAGCAAATGGTTTCTCCTCTCACCCCCACCCGGTCATCCGCAGACATGGGGTAACCTTCCATACGTATACGGACGACACACAAATCGACTTTGCCTCCTCCAGTACCAACTCCAGGTCCCCGTTGTTCATCAGCTTGTCTGGCAGACATGAGGGCCTGGATGAGTGTAAACTTCCTGCAGCTGAACGTGGACAAGATGGAAGAGATACTCTTTGACTCCGGTGAATGTCTTCACTCCTGCGGAACTGACCTCCTAAACCTCCCCAGCCTCTCCCTCAGACTTAACGAACCAGTGTGCAATCTAGGCGTCCTGTTCGACCCCCAGTTGTCCTTCCTTCACCACATCCGGTCCAAGACCAGGACTGCCTTCTTCCACCTCCGCCACATTGCCCACCTCAGAACCATATCTTGCCACAAATGCAACCGAAACCCTTGTGCATGCGTTTGTCACCTCTCACCTGGATTATTCAAACGCTCTCGTTGCTGGTCTGCCCAGCTCCACTCATTCAGAACTCTGCCGCCCGCATACTGACCCGGACCAAACTCTGTACCCACATCTCACCAGTTCTTGGTCCAGGCTCCACTGGCTCCCCATCACCAAACTGATCGACTTCAAGATCCTCACACTCGCTTTCAACTCCCCAATCCATCACCCAGCATCTCCGCTCGACTGTGACCAGCCTCCTGCTTGTACCTCGCACCCTCTGCTTCATCGTTGGAGGTCACGGATTCTGCCACTATGCTCCGAAACTCTGGAACACTCTCCTTAAACTCCCTCCGCCTTGCCCCCTCTCCCCTCTTTCAAGTCCCACCTGAAAACCTTTCTTTTCAAACATACTATCACCTTCCTCCCCCCCCACCCCATCCCCCCTGGATCGGAGTCAAGGCTCTGCCACTGTTAAGCGTTCCGAGACATTACCCTGAGAGAGAGCTATACAAGTGCAAGTTGTTGTTGTTGTCTCAAAGCACTTGACGGAATACCTTGTATTCTGTACGTACCTGGATGGATTAGACCTGCAGTAGCTTATTCACTAACCATACTTCTATAATTACATAAAATATTGTCTTGAGTGTTGGCCATAAATGAGTTGAAGTAAGGATCACTGAACTAATTTTATTTCTAATCCTCAGAAACACTGAAGGCTGCTGGGGTTATGATGCAAATAGAAACTTTTTAGTTTAGGATCATTATCTTCTTAAGACGAGCAGTAAATGAAGTGAGCATTTTGTGCAGTAGAGTGATCAAACATGTTGAGAGTCTAATTGTTTCTTAAAGATTGAAAAACGGAAGGATCTTTGATCTCATTGCCTTTCCCCCCATACCCCATACCCCAACCCCCCAATCCCAATTTAGGGCCGGAATTCTGCATTTTGGAACTAAAAAAAAGAAGCTTATATTAATGGCCTGGATAGAAATTGGGTGGAAAACTAGAGATGTGTGTCAACTTATCAGTCACCTTTGTCAAGGCAGCAACAACTTGCATTTATATAGTGCCCCTCATGATCGGTCAACCTTCTACCCCTACCCTACCCTCCCCGCCCTGATCCCAGCCACCAGCTCGGGTGCGGATCCCTGACTGTCCAGCGCCTTGGGACGTCCTCCTGATGTGAAAGGCGCTGTACAAATGTAATTTGTTGTTGTTGTTGGTAATGTCTCGGGGCGCTTAAGACAGTGAGTCAGCAATCAATAAGGCAAAACGGGCTGTTGGTCTATACCTACTGACCAATTGAGTTCAGATCCCCCAGAAATCATGCCCCAAGTTGTTCAGTGCTCTGATTAGACTGCATGTGCAGTTCTGGCTTCCGCGGCACAAGTTCCAAGGGGCCAACAGTATCTACACGGATGATCCTGGGTGTTTTAGACGGATGGATGAGCTACAAGGAAAAACAAAAGAAAAGTAGAGCAACCTTGAAGAGACATCCCAGAGAGAGGCCTTTTTTGGGGTATATAAAATGAGATTGAGAAGTACTTTTAAGGTATGCCAAGACAGGAGGACACAGAGTCAGGGCTCTGAAAGGCAATTTCAGGATGATCCCAGGTAGTATTTTACACAGAAGGAAATTAATCCCTTGTACAGATTATGAGTAATGGTTTTTTATGTTAAAAAAAAAGTTTGAAGTGAAGATGGTAGAGTGGGTATTCTAAAAGACTTGACATCCAAGTTTTGTAATTAATGATGCATCGAAAATAGCCCTCATCTCTCTTTTTTATTCGTGAACCAGTTATGGGTCCCCACCTGTACCAAATTCCACACGCATATCACCTCGATCGTCACCTGGCTCCCTGCCTCCAAAGGATCAATATCAAGATCCTCACCGTCGCATACAAATCCTTTCACACTCCAGCACCTCTCTGACCTCTCTGCCACCTTCACTCAGCTGGCACGAAATGGCTGTGCATTCTCCAACTCCTCAGCGCCACTGTTGCTAGCTATGCCTTCAGCCACATTATTATGCCCCTAACCTCTAGAACACCCTGCCTTAATCCCTCTGCCTCGTCCCTTCTATTAAGATTTGCCTCTTTGATTTGAGATTGATGTGCACAAATTGGCTTCACATTTCGTCTACACAAAACACAGTACAGTACTTTACAATATATCCTGTGAAGTGCTTTGAGATATCCTTCCAGTGTGAAAGGTACTACATCAAATTATTATATTCATTTATTTGTAGTCAGACTAACTGTCCACTCCAAAGTGCATATGACTAATTATGAGGAAATTGGAACAGGACAAGGAGAAGCAGGATATCTATTCAAACTCCTGTGGTTTATACTTTATGGAACTCTCCACTGCTTTTGGTCTTCAGTCGTGTTGGGTTAAGACGAAAAATGGTGAATTGGTGCCTTGCTCATTGAGCCAAATCTTTTTTGGAGGTGTAATTGTTTGCTATGCAAGCACATGAGGTGTGTACTGTCTCTGACGGTATGAACTGTGCACAAAAAAAAATAGATCAAGGCAGAGTTCCAGTGATCTCTACTTGATTGTTACACCATATCTATTTTCAGTCTAAATTAGAGTGGCCACAAACGGCCACATAATGTGCACTTAATTTAAATTTAAATTTGTTGTCTTAAAACTTCATTCTCAAGCGGGGATGAATTACTATTCAAGAATGCTACGATATAATCCCCTGGTGCTGTTAAATTATTAGCCAGTTGTCATCCTGATGGATTAAGTACTTTTCCAGAAACATATGCACAATTATGAGATAACTACCTTTAATAGTAATCCTGTTGTTGTATGTAGCACAGAAGAATTGCCTGGTGTGCTTGTAATTTTCTCTTCTTAGTGCAATCTTCCACATGGCTGAGTTTTTCAATGACCTGCTTTACGTTCCCCCCACCCACCCATCAGCGGTCAGGCTTAAAGCCTGTCTGCCCCCACTTCCTGGAACTCCATCCTGGTGTCCCTTCAACTCTCCCTTTACCTCACCTTCTCCAAGACCTTTTTCTCTAACCTGGTTTTAGCCAACTTTCCCCCAATAAAATTGGATCTTTTATTTCATGGCTGTTTGTGGGACATTGCTGTGTGCAAACTAGCAGTCACGTTTCAGCCATGAAACATACAGTGACTGCACTTTACAGTATATGTACTATGTGCCAAACGTAAAGATTATTATCATAAATTTGTTTGGGGTTGGACTGTTTCTTTGATGCTCAGGACCTAAGGTATATTGCTGTGGAGGAAGGAAGGGCACACGGTTGTATCGGCAGATATAAATGCACAGTGATATTAACAGTGAAAATAACCTTACAAGGTGAAAGACAATCAGATCTGAGAACAAGGTCGCAATTTACATTTTTGGGGGAAATTAAACACGGATATGATGCCCACAAAAGGAAATTTTGATTCGACAAGAAGTGCGTTCTTTTGTAAAATGTGTCCTCTTTGTTCTCCAACTCTCCGTCTGTCACCCAGAAAGCAGCTTCTCAGAATTTATTGCACTGCAGTCAAAGTGAAAAACGCTTGTTAGAGTCTCATTAGCTGCCTTCTCTTTAACGAACGTCTCAGCCTGCTGAACCAGGAAAGTACAGGCATCCAGATCTCTTTTTAAGTCTTGGCGTGTTTTATTGATCTTGCTTCTGATTTCCGCACAGTAAACACCAGAATGATGAGTATTTTATGTTCTGTAGTTTTCAGGCGCATTGTGCATTGAATAATCTTAATAATGGTCTTCTTACGCATCAGAT